AGATAGATAGATAGATAGATAGATAGATAGATAGATAGATAGATAGAATAACTATTGTCACTTTGAATGTACACTAATCAGCATACATTAAAACGAAATTTTATTGCATAGAGCTCTCAAAGGGTCACCACCTCCAATATACACTACATAAACATGACGAAAAAAAGCAAATTCAAAATTAAAATAAAATAATAAATCAACTACTGTGGAGTTGACTTCTTGGTCTACATAGTCGGGCTGTGGAGTAACATTTAATGCCGTAACAACTAGATTTGTGCAACGTTGTGACCATTCAGCTGGAGTTCCTTTTCCCTTAAAACAATGCAGAAACTCAGCTGCGAACACAGGTGTGTTATTGAAAGTTTTTTCCAACGGCCTGCTTTGTTGAAGTTGTCTATTCTTGTCTTACCTGCAGCCAAAGTGGATCAAACAAAATTTGACATCACTCAATTGTACATGACACCAGAAGTGGCCGCTGAAGAAAGGATGGCCGACGATGCCTCTGGAAAAGTTGAGGTGGGACATTTAAATACAGGTAGTCCTTGACTTACGATCATGACAGCAGAATTTCTGTTGTTAAGCAAGGCTGTTACTAAATGAGTTGCACCCAATTTTATGACCGTTTTGGCCACAGTTGCTAATCACTGCAGTTAAGTGAATCATGCAGTCTTTAAGTGAATCTTGCTTTCCTTACAGTAAGTGCGAGGACTGGTTGTAAGCCCCATTTTTTCAATGTGCAACAGTCACTAAATGAAAATCTGCAAGTCTAGGATTTCTTACAATCCTTTTTTACGTTTTAGAAGCAACAACTGTGCTGTGCCATAAACTTTAAAAAATTGTGATCTTTATTTATCTGGTAATATGACTAACAAGAATAACAGAATAGAGTAACAATTGGAACAATAGCATATTATAATTAATTACGGCAACCTTCTGTATAAAATAAGCTTTTAAACCAATAGAATAGAATAGAATAGAATAGAATAGAATAGAATAGAATAGAA